TTGTAACTTCTAGTTTTGTGTGATATAATCAGATTACAAGCAAGCAGAAAGTATCGACAGGATAGCTAAATCTTTTTGACATTTCTCTTTTAGATGTTAATGGCATAATAATAAAAGAGAAAACCAAAATATTTTTGACCTGGAAAGAAGACTATTTGATTTTAGATAACCAGAAATGACTGCAAGAATAGTCAATAGATCAAACAGACAAAAAGAATGAAAAGTGCATAATTAGGGGGGGGGGGTCCATAATCGTCTTTTTTAGATTTTTTATAGTTTAACCAATTTTTCTTAATTAGTTTTTCATGCTGATTTTGAAAATCATAATCATTTTGTTTCATTTTAATTATTTAGCCTTCTACTTCAATTTTAATAAAAGTTAATATATTGACAAAAATAGAGGTGTACCGGATACGATATCCGGCCGGATATCCGGTTGAAAATACCGGATAATTTACTATCCGGTATCCGGCCGGATATTTACTATATCCGGCCGGATGTACCGGATAATACTAGCACAAAGAGGTTTGAAAAACTATTAAGAATTATTTAATAAATACATTTTTTTAGGGGAGGGTAATTTATCTTTTAACTAGAAATTTAATTTTGAGAACTCTAAATCAAAATGGTTTACCGACACGCTGCTAAATGGGCTCTAACATGATGTTTTTAAAAGTCTCAGATTTGACATTATCAAGCTTTGTGCAAACTCTAAACTTAAGTTTTTGTGCTTTCATAGAATGAAAGTGTTTTGCATCAAAAAATCATGGTAATTAGAGCTTGGGAACAAAAATAACCTTAGAGGTTATTTTCTCAACCACCTATCCCAAATGCAAGGGAAATCATTCAGTTATTTCATTACACTATCTAATACTCTAGCTAAATTCATCAATAGGTTTTAAATTTCATCAATTAATTTATGTTCCAAAGTTATGACCATGTTTAATTTATTACCCCTTCAATTTGGAGAGGGGTAAAAACACAGTCATAACTTTCCAACAATTTTTTTAAGATTTAAAATGATCGAAATTGAGAATTTAAAGAATTTGTTTTGCAAAAAAATTTTCTATCAAAATAATAATTTTTTTTTTTTTTTTTTAATGTTTAAATTTTTTTTTGCTTTTATTATATTTTTTTGAAATTTCATCATAAACTTTTTTTTTTTCTTTCTTTTTTGATATTTTGTTATAGATTTTTTCACTCAATAAATTGTCTTTATTTAAAATAAAAATTTTGAAAAATATTTTGGAGTAAAATTCATGAAAAAGATGGCCCAACCATTTACATATTTGCTGCCTGGACTTTGCTCTTACTTTGCATATTTACCCTCTTGTCCCTACCCCTTATACATACTTGTACACTTTTAGATAATATTTAAACATTTTTAGATAATGTCGCCTCCCATACCTGCATACATACTTTATGAATGCCTCTTAAATTAAATTATTAAATTCAATGAAACAAAATGTTTTAGAAAGTTAATAATACTATCAAAGAACATAACAAATAAAATTTCAACAAATGAGTAAATGCAAAGAGTCATTCTATTTTCCTCCCATTATGGTGAATAAACAAAAGCATTTCTCCTGTTTTAGGCAATAACCTAGACCTCTTTTTCTCATAGATATTACCATATTCTGAGAACAATCTTTCAGAAAATATGGATGATGCAGGAGTGCATAGATGTTTTGAAGCAATTGTTTTTAAAAGAGGGAATCGTTCTTCTTGCATCCATGTCTTTATTGGACAGAGTTTTCTGTCTACAAGTGGTTCAGAATAAAACTTTTTTATTTCTTTTCTAATCAAAATCTCATTTGATTTTTTCTCTAACTTTAATTTTTTAAAAGGTAATGGTTTTTCAGATGTTGCATTTATAATTTCTTTGAAACATGCTTCAAGAGTGTCTTCTTTTTCAGCATTAATTGAAAAATTCAATTGTGATGGTTCTTCATTTACACTAAAATCTACTTCTTCAGAACAAACAAGAGTTTTTTCAAAGGATAAAATTTCATTTATTAACCAGTACTTAGCCTGTTTTTTGATATCATCCTCAAAGAAAGAAAACTTATATCTTGGATCAATTGAAGTAGCTATGACATAGTACCTATTTTTCAAAATGTTTAAAGACTTCGCATCATTTATTTCAGAAAAAAATCGATTTTTTAAAGAAGTTGTAAGCCGATTCTTTGTTTCTTGAATACTTAAATCAACTTGACATTTTGACATAAATTTCTTCAATGAGCACATATTTGGAATTACAGAAGACAAAGTTGTTATTTCTGAACTCATTTCCTGAGTTAATTGGAAAAAAGGCTTTAACAGTTTAATAATGTTTAATATTAATGTCCATTCTAATGTAGAAAAGGGCATTAAATCAGAACGTTCTGCTAAGTATAGTTGAACTGGAATTTTTAACTTGTTTAATCTATCAAGCATAAGATAAGTGCTGTTCCATCTTGTTGGGACATCTTGAACAAGACAAAGAGGGTCGAGATTTTGTTGCAGCTGAATTTGTTTAAAGTTGTTACATGCTAGAGATGAATGGTTAAAATGAGTTACAAGTCGACGACATTTTGAAAGAACATCAATTACAATATCTTCACTTATTGAATCTGAAACAACTAATTGAAGTAAATGAATAGTACAATGGATTGCAGGAATTTCAGCTAGGTTACTCCCACTTATCATGTTGCTTGCACCATCTCTTACAAGAATATGTCGTCTTTCAGCTTCAATTTTCCAGCTATCCCACATACTTTCTAACTTTTTGGATATGTTTATTCCAGTATGGCTTTCAGAAAAATGAGAAGCATGTAATACCACATCAAATCTATTAAAATCTTTATCGATGGAGTGGCTAGACAATAAAATAAATGATTCATGAGAAATTGGGCATGTCCATATATCTGAAGAAAAGCTTATGTAATCTGTTTTTATTAATTTATCAGAAATTTTATTATTTAACTCCATGTAAAGTTGAGGTATTATTGTTTTAGAAAAAAATTTTCTACTTGGCATGCAATATCTGGGTTCTAAATGGTTCATTAAGTTATTAAAACCTGTATCTTCAACTAAAGTAAATGGCTGGTTGTCTAAGGCCATCATCAACCCAATTTTACGATGAATAGTTTGCGACCTAGAGTCATTAATGCTCCATACCTTTTGTGACTTTAAATATTCGTCTATTGAAGTTTGTTTAGAAGTTTCCAAAGCAGTCTCTTTTTTTACTGTAGTACTAGTTGAAAAAAATTCGGGTGTGATTTTATTGACAGCCTGAGCTTTTCTTTTCTGTTCATTTTTATTTCGTTCTATATGGTATTCTTTTGGGTGAATTATTTTGATGTGGTTATGCAGAGGTGTTGTGCTAAAACATTTTTGCCCAGCCTCCATAGTTCCACATTTAATCATTTTTTTACAGATATTACAGTTTGCATACACATCACTTGCATCATTTATTTTATACAATGACCAGATAAAGCTCTGCATTATTATGTTTGTCTGAAATATAAAGTTAAACGTGTTCACAATTGACATTAAATATTTAACTATTTTAGTATAATAGTTAAATATTTAATAAATATCTTGGTATCAAATGTATGTGTATAATAATTATACACATACATTTGATCCCAAGATATTTATGTGTATTATACAGATGGTAATTTTGATATCTATACAGTGTATAAATACTACATTGAAATTAATATTGCATTGTTAATTTTCAATGTAAACATTGTTAGATTCCAAATGCATTGTTACATTGTAAAGAAAACAATAAAAAAACATAACAAAAAAATTAAAGTAATAATACATAGTTTGGAAATTTAGATAGCAACCTAGTTTTAAAGTTATTGCTACGTAATAAATTGTTAATAAATTTTCAAACTACAATTGAAACAGATAATCCAATTATGCAGACAGACATGCAAAATGTAATACAATTTTTTTTTTTTTGTGGATTTACACACTATTTTGCACATTCCCAATTTGACTAAAAACAAACATCAAAACTAAATCCTATCCTAATTTTCAACATATCCGGTATATCCGGCCGGATATGAAATTTTAAATCCGGCATATCCGTATCCGGCCGGATACGTAAAATGCTATATCCGGTACACCTCTAGACAAAAACAGGTATTGTTAAAAATAGATGAAATTATTATTATCATTAAATATAAGAAAAGTAGAAAACTAGAAATCTTTTTCTGTTTAATTTATCAATAATATACCTTATCATTTATAAGTAACAAAAAAAATTAAGCATTATATATGAAAATAATTCATACAGTTTGTTATTTACTATTGAAAATGGAAAATAACTATAAAAGTCATATATGTAGCATAAGCAGGTCAAGTATCATATGCAATGGAGATTTGAATAAGTTTTGGCTATCAGAAACAACTTCAAGAAAGCATAAAAAAATAGTCTTAATGAATGAAGCTGTTAAAATAAAGGTAACTTTCTCGAGCTAAACATCTATCTCTGACTCACCACTTAGCTATTAAAAAATTACAGATGTTTTTAATTAAAGCAAAGGTTGACAGTTATTTTTAGTTCACTAGACCTAGATTAACACCAGTTTATAGGATAATCAGAATTTTTATTTATAATCAGAATTTTTGATGGGTGTAGAATAACCCAGCCAACTGCAGTAAAAAAGTGCAGTCGACAATTTATTTTTTGATGCAACTACAAGTAACACAAGCAGGATAAATGGAGCACTGTTGATTGTTAAGAGAAAGTGATGTAAGCCACTTAATTATAGAGTGATAATATTAGCAAATATAAACTTATATAGCTTGTTTTTACCAATTTAGTAAGCCTTTTGTGGCCTAATCAACATAAAAACATAAAATAATGCATATAACATAAAAGAATGCGTACAAAAAATAAGAATATTCTGTTAAAAAAAGTTTTTAGATTTAATAACATATTGTTAATGTTAATAAAAGTGATCTGACTAACAACAATAATATTATAATTTATATTTGCATACCTAGGAAAATGTTGATTCATGCAGACATAAATATGAAAGTTTTTTGCATCCCAATAAATACCACGACCATAGCTTTCTAAATACGAAAGTACAAAAAAGGTTTATTTATTTTTTTCTTTCACATGAAACATAACATTAAGAAAATAAAATACATAATTTATATAAAAACATAACATGAAAATGAAATACACATTTATTTAAAAACATAACATGATAAAAATTAAAATTAAAAAAATAAAAAATAAAAATATTTAAATTTAATTTAATAATTATAATTTTTAGATTTAATTATTAATGAGATTTTACTATTAATTTCAATAAAATATTTTTTTTTTTAAATAAAATTTTTAGATTAGATTTTAGAACTGTTTTCAGTTGCTTAAATATTACACTTAAAGTGAAAGCTTCTCAAATTATTAAAAAAAAATATTGATTGATTCAGAAATTTTTTAATTACCTTTAAGAATTAGTTGGTCTTTGAAAGTTGGAATACGTGGATACCCAAAACACTCAACAACTTTTCTGAATGCTTTAAAGAATACTGTGGGTTTACCTAATTCAACTTGAATTGATAACTTCAAAGGAATGTCTAATGTAAAAATGCCAGGTAAAGGGCATTTTGTATCATTAAACAAACCAGTAAAGTTATAATTGAATGTTTCAGAAGAATTGATTCTTCCGGTAAACTAAAAAAAACTAATACAATAAATTTAAAATTTTGCATTAAAAATATAAAAATTTTAATAAAATTTTTAATTAATTGGTATTGGTTTAGTCAACCAATAGTATTGACCAATACTATTGGTTGACTAAACCAATACCAATTATATTATTGCAATCAACAATAAATAATAAAAAGCAATAACAAAGCAATCCATAATAAAACAAGTGAAACTAAAAAAAAAATTAAAAACAATTAAGACATGCAAATCCAAGTTAGATTTGCAAGATATTAGGATTTCTTTTGACAACACAAGACACGAGTTAAAACTCTTGTTTCCCACAAGAAAATTATATCATAAAACATTGCAGTAATTATTTGAAAAAGCACAAAATTCATTCCAATCAAGCAATCAAGCCCAACTATGCAACATAATTGAATTTTTGTATTAAAAAATATAAATTCTTATAAAATCTCCTAATTAACTTTCATTAATTAGGAGATTTTATAAGAATTTATATTTTATAAGTTTATGTTTTAGGTGCTTTTAGAAAAGTTTTTAAATTTTTAAAGGTTTTAAGATTTTTTAGGTTTTGTTTTCCTAAAAAGTCTCCTTTTTGTGTTTATTAACTTGATGTTTTTTAAAAAATTGTTTATGAATTGGAAATTTTAAAATTGCATAATATAAAAATATTAAAACTGCATAAATTGCATAATTTTTTTTATTGATGTTAAAAAATTTAAAAAGTATAATAAATTAATACAAATAAATAATAATATAATAACTTGATAAAAGTTTCAACATAATTAGTTTTTGACTAGAGAAAACATGCTATTAGTTAAAAAGAGAGAACATGCTGTTAGTTTCAAACCAGAAAATGCATGCTGTTCATTTTAAATTAGAAGAGAATTACTTCCACTTACTAAAATTTATAAAAAAAAGTTTAAGAAAAGATTACAAATTTAAAATCAATATGAATAAAAAATTATAAAAAAAAATTCACAACTTGTCAATTTGTCAAGTTCACAACTTGACAATTTGTCAAGTTTTAGAAAAATCTTAGTTTGTTGACTGTAATTTTCTTGACAAATTAAATCAAGCTAACAATATGTTTAAAATAATCCGCCATTATGAACATTAAATATGGTTTTTATTTTCATAATGGCAAATATATCATAAGAATCTTCAGTTTATGTTCATTCATTATTTCCATTATTTTTATATCTTAAATACTGTTTTCAATTTTGGGGTCAAAATACAGAACTGTAACTAGTGTTTTAGGAGCCTGATATCCAAGAATAATATTATCACCTTTATTGGCATAATAATAAAAGAGAAAACCAAAATATTTTTGACCTGGAAAGAAGACTGTTTGATTTTAGATAACCAGAAATGACTGCAAGAATGTCAAGTTGTGAACTTGACAAATTGACAAGTTGTGAACATTTTTTTATAATTTTTTATTCATATTGATTTTAAATTTGTAATCTTTTCTTAAACTTTTTTTTATAAATTTCAGTAAGTAGAAGTATGTCTCTTCTAATTTAAAATAAACAGCATGCATTTTCATGCATTATCTAATTTATACTATTAATAAAATTATCAAAATTCAATGTAGATATTTTATTTGTAATATACTACAGTAAAAAATAAAACATAAATTTAAATAAAATTTGAAAATTTATCAATCAATTTTGCCATTTAAAAGAGTTGATTTAAAAACTTGATGTAAAGTGTATTATCATAATAATGTAAATAAATAAATTATATTTTTAATATTTGTTTAAACAAATAATTCTAATAATATATTTAATAATCAAAATAACAATAAATATTCACTAGCGGAAAAACAGATGACAAATTACTCATGAAGATGTACAAACATTGCTGCATCAATTTACATAAAAGCTCCCAACAAGTGCTGCTTCGATTCAAAATTCAATTCGAAACTAAAAGTGCTAATTTACAGGGCCCTTATATATATATATATTCATGTATACAAATATATATATATATATATATATATATATATATATATATATATATATATATATATATATATATACATATACATGTATATGTATTATATATATATATATATATAATATATATATTATATATATATATTATATATATATATATATATATATATATATATATATATATATATATATATATATATATATATATATATATGTATATATATATATATATATATATATGAATATAAATATACATATATATTAAATATTTTTTGATGGATGCCACTATTTGCTTGTCACCATTTTGCCCTCACCATTACTACATATTACATTCATTCCTATCAACTAAACCTTAATTACTCAGTGCTTGTCCCTGCAAAAATTCAAATTTAAAACCAAAAATGAGAATTTTTAACTAAAAAAAAAATTGATTAAGTACATATTTTGACTGAGAAGTTTGAGTATGTCAAGTATAATAAATCTATTACACCAAAAAATGTTTATAGTAATAGATAAACTGAAGTAATTACTGTCAATTATAAGGTTATCTGTCAATAGCATTTAGAATTCAATAAAATATATAATCTTTCTAAGTTAAACTAAATTAGAATTTTATGTTTTTATAAAAGTTATTTGAATTAAAAAAAGGTTTCTTAAAGTTATGTTCAGACAAAGTCTGATGGTTTAAAAAAATTAATTTGTATATAGTTTCAAAAATTGTTTAGTAAACTACATCAGTTAAAAATAAATTATAAAAATGTCTTACATAGTATTTTATTCTATTGCCATCTGCTTTAACGAAATTCTGTATAACACTTCCAGAAGTGAAACTTAAGTATGGGGGTAAAAAAAACTCAAATTCCAAAGAAGCATTTAAAGACTCATTAAATGTTGGATAAATCTGTAAATTCATCAATAGTAATTGCCTATAAAGATATTAGAAAAAAATTAATTAAAAAAAATAATCTATGGTTCCTATTACTCAACAAACATTTTATAACAAACTTTAGATTTTTAAAACATAAAAGGGAAAAGTATTTTTAGTTTTCAAAAGAATCAGATGTTAAATTAACAAATATTAATTTAAATTTTAAACCCATATAAAAAAATAAATAAACAAAATAAATCAACAAAATTGAAAATTGAAAAAAAAAATTGATTAAATTTTATTTAGAAAAAATAAATATACTTACAAAAAGTTATGTTATCAGTTTTTGTTATATTTATGGAGTTATTTTTGACAACAGATTTAGTTTAAGACTTTATTTAAAAAAATTTATATTCAAAAATCATTCATAGACAAAACAATTATCTGTGATGAAATAAAATTGTGAAAATCAAGTATAAAAAAATATAAATTAAGTTAAATCAAAAAAATATAAATTTAAGTTTTTATTTTAACATTTTTCAAAAAAATTAATCTTTATACTTTATACTACAAAAAGCTTTTTTAAGTAAAAAAAAATAGTATACTAAATTGTATGAAAAATGCAATAATGTTTTTTTAGGGATACATATTTTGCTCAGGCATGATTCTATGAGCAAAATATGTATCCCTATCTATGAAGATTAAACTAGTATGGGTACTGTGACATTTGGGAAAATGTGTTCAACCCTACTTGTCAGTGTCAGGTCTGATGTATAGTTATTATGATCACCCTGCTACTGGTAATATGTAATCCAGTGCAACCTGTTCCATATCCTGCTGCCTCGTAGGATTTGCTTTCTAAACAGAAACTAGAGAAAGTGTACTTCCTGTTAATATTATAATCTAATATTTGTCTTGTCTATGTGGTATCTATTTTTATCTGCTGGTGTTTTAGTTACTGTGTTAGCTCACCCATAATTTACTACATATATATTTTGTATTCTGTCTGAACCTCTGTCATGGCGTTAACACACCCAAAAGTTACTATTTGTATGTTTTTATTCTGTCTAAAGCTTTGGCCAGTTTTGCTATCTCGTAAGGTACTATATGTATATTTGTGTTCTGTATGAATCTCTGGTGTAGTGTAGTTCACCTCAATTACGAATAATTTACTACAATTGTATAATATACACTCGCTTTAATTTTCAGTATTCTTTTATATGTAATGTTTTCTCACTTTCATTCAATGTTTTAAAGTACTGCTTACAGAATTAACTTCTAAACTATTATAATTAACTACTAAAAGTCAGGTCAGGTTCAAGATTATCACCATCACTATGCTTCTGTTAATGTGTAACCCAGTATACCTGCCCGATGTTTGCTGCTTTGCCACCTGTGTTAAACTGTTTCCTGCCTAGGATGAATGCTGGTTTTTTTTGACTTTACTAAATTTATATTTGTGCCTCCTTGATAGTGGTTATGCAACATTTCTTGTTACACAGTTTAGGGTACATCTCTAAAACTTTGTACTAACAGCTCCATGTTGCACATGGATGGTATTCTATAAGATGATTAGATAAGAGCGGCAAAGTAAGTGCTATTGCTCTTGATATATCTGAAGCTTTTGATAAAGTTTGGCCTGCTGGTCTCCTCCAAAAGCTATATAGTGTGTTTTGAAATTTTTTTTATTTTTTGAGATAATCAAATCATTTCTTTCTTATAAGCATTAAAGTTATCCTTGAAGACCAACACCCTTCTTCATTTCCAGTAACATTTAGGATACAGAAGGTTCTTGGTCAACAATACAAGTCCTTGGTCTTGTCTTATCTAAATTAATAATCTTTCCAACAATTCTACATATAAAGCAGCTTTATTTGCTGACAATAATCTTTTGTAAAAGTTTTCATAATCTTTTGTAAAAGTTTTCTGATTTGGATCACTTAAAATGGGAAACTAATCTTGAATTCAATTTCTCTTCTGTAACAGCTTGGGCTTACAGTGGCTTGTGAATCAAAAAAAATTTTAACTCCAAAAAAAATTTAATTACTCCAAAACAACTTGACAACCTTAATAACTCCAAAAAAACATTAAAAAAAAATTACTTATTTTCTGCAAACAACTATCACAAGATTGTTGACATTCCTATATTGATTTTTAGCAACTTCACTGAGTTCTTCTTGGATTATTATTTACAACTGACTTCTCATAAAAACCATATATATGATTTATCACAAAGTTAGCATCTGGTTAGGTTACTTTATCATGCTTGTTAACACCTTACTTCTGATTCCATTCTCATTAGAAGGACCAGCCCAAATTTTTATTTGGGCAGGTTTTTCTAATGATGTTCTTTTTCTTCTAGACAAGGTCCAAAAGCACATTGTACACATAATTGGACCTGCTTTTTCTATGAAATTGTCTAAAGTTGCTCTCAATGTCGTAAATTGCTTTTCTTTTTCTCTTTTTTACAAATACTATCTTGGTCTCTGCTCAAGAAGCTATCATCACTAGTTCCATCAACTAAAACATATTTTCGCTTGAGTCATCATTCAGCAAAGCCGCATCCTTTTACTGTAACTATCCTCTCATGGTCTTGAAAATTTTATTTATCTAGTATTTTTCCTCTCACATTGATGTTTTAGAACTCTATTTATCTTTATGTTTTCCTAACTCAACTTTTTAAGTATGTCAACCATTTCTTTGCTCTTTAACTCTATTTTTCGTTTTTTAGTAACTCACAACTTAAAAATCGTTGCTCTCAGTCTTGTGGGGAGTGCATTAAAATTTCAAAAAATGATAATAAAAATTGATACCTTTGTAAAGTGACAGCATTTAAAACTTTCCACAATGTTTTGGAAACATCTAAAAACATTTACCAAAAAAAATAATTACACAATGTTAAAGTGAAACGTGTCTTTTACATAAATTAACAAAAAAAAGTAAATAAAAATATAAAAATTTAATTAAAATGATATTAAAATACTAGGTTTAAAATAAAAAAATGATCAAAATGTTCAGCTAACTAGACACAGTTTACCAATTGCGACCCTAACCCTCAAATCGAGGACCAAAAAAATGACAATGTGTCCAGTAATCTAGAAACACTTCCTGTTCATTTGGCATAAAAAATTAAAATCTGATTACACCTTCTGAGAGACAAAATTGAGTAAAATGATGGCTAAATACGGAATTGATGATCCATTTAATTATATAAATGTGATTTTTCATATTTTTATGTTCTTGTTAAAACAGATTGTATGGTTTTTGTTCAAAATGTTTTGTTCCTATTTGAGGCTCAAACATACCAACTAGAAAGCAAAAATTGATCAAGAAAAAATATAGAAAGGATAAAATTAATTAGAAAAAAAAAAAATTAAAAAGAAAAAAATTATCAAAGGCTGAAAGAATTTTCAGCCTTTGATAATTTGTGTACCTGTAATCGTATTTTTTTTGTTTGTTTAACAAAATCATAAGGATACAAAAATAAGGACAACTAAGTTTTTCAGTTCTGATTAAAATAAATTTTTACTGAATCTTTTTAAAATAAGAATATTAAGTATATATAAAAAGAATTTTGAAGTCCTCAAATCAAATTGTTTTTGTATCTGCAATTGTATTTTTAGCTTAATAAAGGATACAAAAACAAGGGAAAATGAAAATTTGCTTTATTTATTACTTTTTTAAATAACAGCTTGCAGACAAAAATTCGAGTCATAGTAATGAAATCATCATGTAAAGTTTTATTTTTTCCTTCTGATGTTCTGAATGATAAAATTACATGAAAAATTCTTCTTCAACTAATTTTCTTACAACTAAACAGGTTTTAAATTGTTAAAACAAGACACGTTTTACAAAAACAGTAATTCAAATTTCACATTTAAAATATTCTGTATCTTAAAAAAGCAGAATTTTGAACTAAAAACCTTTATCTTTTTCAGCCTTTAAACTAAAAATGTTTACTGCTGTAGTCAAACAACTGTTTTCCATAGTAAGGGTTATCCAAACCTCTTTTGTATCTTGCCCAGTGGAAGCTGAATAAAGTGTCTCATATGATTGCTCAATAAAATGACTAAGCCCAGTGTTGTTAATTTTAGAACTTTTAGAGTCACTGAGGCTGACAGAGTCTGTAGTATTATAGAAATTCATTGATGTGAACCTCAAATCTAAAGACAGTTTGTTTCTGAAGCAAGAATGAACAACATTTTAAAATTGTTTGAAAGACTTGAAAAAATTCTTGGCAGAAGCAATTTGATGTTTGGTTACAAACTCACTAAAAAGATCTGTTTGGATGAGAGGCTCATGAATCACATTCAAATATATCTTCACCTGCAATTTGCTTCCTCGTAAATGTGAATTGTAGAGCTGGAATTGAGATCTTATTAATTCAATCATTCTTGGTTTAACTTTTGACTGCGAATTGTCTGAGGTGAAGTCACACCAGCAGCAAAGGTGTGAACTGGAGTGAGACTGGGTTCCACATAGGACGCTAGCAACTTTCATGTCACAAGCAATGAAGAATGGTGTGCTGACAATCCCCAAAAGAACAAAGATTGATTTGATGTTCTCATAGTTTTCTAAAAGTTTTTTGGCTATGGCCAGGACCCAGCCAGCATGTCATATTGGGCCCCACATGGAGCCCAAGTGGGCAGCTTTATGGAGCCCAAATGGGTTGCCCACATCCTGTCCAAGGAAAATTGTTGGTGGGCGTGAATTGGGGCCCAAGTGGGCAGCTCATATGGAATGCATATCTGGCACCCAAATTTTTATTCATTTAAATTTTTTATATTTTGAATAATTATTTATTTTTAAATTAGATATATTTAATTTTATATGTAGTCATAAATATGTCACGTGAGTCTAGCTATATAGAAGTAAAACAGGAAATCAAACATAGAAAGAATAAGGTAAACAATAATAAACATTTATAAATATACCACTGTATTTAAATAATAAAATAGTAAAAGTAATAGTCTTATATAAATAAGTATATCCAAACCTTTTTTTAAATAAGTTTAAATAAGACTTTATTAAAAAAGACCTCTTCAAGACTTGTCATTTTATATACATTTTTGCTTGTGGGTTTATAAAAACTCAAATAGTGTAAAAACTCAAATACTTTCAAAAACTTTTATATAAAAACTCAAATACTTTCAAAAACTTTTTATACATAAAAAAAAACAACTTTCAAATACAATTTAAAACTCTTTTACTACCACTAATACATGACATTGATAGCACTATTACGGAGTCTTTAAAATGATTTGACTTAAATAAAAAAAAGATTTTTCGAAAAAGAGTTAATTTGAATTTAGTTTAAAATTTGATAGAAGCTTTGAGACGTAATTACATTTGAGAAACAAAAATGGGTTTTTGTAAAGTGAGTTCGGTATTGTGATTTATACTCTTCCAGCTAACTGCCTAGCAGAGTACCTCATACCATTGCGCGCACGATTGGATGGTATTTAAATTTAGAAAATAAGATGGAATTTAACGCTTTTTAACTTCATATATGGGCCCTAAATGGGCCTCATATATGCTAACCTTTGAATGCAAAATTTTAAAATTTTAAATTACATATATGGGCCCAAAATGGGCCCCATGTGGGCTAGCTCTTGAGTACAAAACTTATGTGGGCTTTATTACAAAATGAATACAAAAATTAAGTGGGCTTTATGTATGGGGACCATTTTGGGCCCATACATAAAGCCCACATATTTACATATATACATTGCCCATACATATATACATTGCCTGAGTGGGTCACATAGGGCCCACTTGGGCAAACCTATATGGGCCCCAATAAGACATGTTCGCTGGGAATTAGCTGCTGTTTGATACAAGAATCCAGAGATGTGAAATCAGTGAGGGTTGTTGTCATTTGATATGGAATCTGTGTGTGGGATCTCCTGTCATTGATGCACTAGCTAAACTTCAAGAAGTTTCCAACACCATCAATCCCAATTTTGGTGATGTTGCTTAATTTAGAAATTCCTTCTTTCTTGAGACACCAAAACAACAAACTCAAACAGACTGATGCAATGCATGACCTAGGTTGTAGAGATTTCTTTTTTTTAAGCATCATAAGTAGTTGATGTGCTAAAAAAGTCCAAACTCTAACATCTTTCTGACACTGGAAAACTCATCCCTTAAGTTTGATTCCAGCAACCTTGCTCCAAATGAAAACTCTGTGGTAGCTCTCACAGAGGCTGATTCCATTAACAGCTGCAAAATATCAGAGTATTAACAGTGCCATGTTGTGCATGGATGGTGTCACTGTTAATGCTTTTGGTGGGCAATGTCAAGACCGCATAAGGAATCCAATGTTATGACTTAAGGTTATTTAGCTAGACAAAGTTATTTAGCTGAGACAATTGCATAGCTCATTGCTTAGGAGGCTGTGCTCTATCTATGAATGAGTCAAGTTCTCTTTAAACTTAAATCATGCTAAATGTAAACCAAAATATTAAACATAAAAAACCATTCCATGCCCTCTTTATCTGTCAGCCAATTTTGTTTTTAATGGTGACTTTAATGCTCATCACACTGAATGGCTTGGCTCTAACGCCACTGACCCTGCTGGCACTTAGGTCTATAACTTCTGCATTTATTAATCTCTTACTCAAATAGTTAACTTTGTTATATAAATAGTTAAATTTATTAATCAAATAGTTAACTCGTTTTCTTGACAATCCTAATCACTTACATTCACTCCTTGATTTATATCTGGTCTCAGATCCTTCTGGCTGATTTTCTGATTTAGGTAGATCTTGTACTTCCTATTTGGACTTACCCTATTATCAGACTACTTACTACTACCCAAAAGCTGATTAAAATTCTTTTTGTGATTTTCTTTGTGACGTTCCTTGGGCTGATATCTTTTCTCTCTCAGCTGAAAAATGCACCTCCTATGTAACCTCCTGGATTCAGGCAGGAATGTAAGCTTTTACTCCTTCTTGCTAGTTCCTAGTCAAGCCTCATTCTACTCCATGGTTTTCACCTTTATGTGCAGCTGCTATATCTAATTGTACTCATTTTTTTAATCTTTTTCAAAAGTCTTTCTTGAGAACAAATGACTATTTATTATTACAAGAAATCAATGTAAAAAAGTGTTGTCTGATGCTAATCTCGATTATTTTCAGTCTACTAAATCTTGTATCTTATCTCAAAAGTTATGCTTAGAGACTATTAGAAAAACTTCAACAGCGTCATTAACAAGGGTAGGTCTAACAATCCATCTCTCATTCATGGGACCAATCTTATTACCTCTTCCAAAGATAAGAAAGAACTACTTGCAAAGAACTTTTATTCAAATTCAACTCTTAAATCTTATGGCCATTTTCTTCCTTCAATTCCAATTAAACAGGTTAACCTATTGTTAGACATTCAAATCACTCCAGCTTCAAATGCTAAAGTCATATCTCAATAAAACTCTTCTTCAGATAGTGGTCCAGACAACATTCCTGTCACAGTCTTACAGAACTGTTCTCCACAACTCTCTTCAATTTTCTCTAAACTATTTAATTAGTGCTTGAATGAGTTTTGTTTTTCTGTCTGCTGAAAAATGGCATCTGTTGTTACAATTATCAAAAACTTCGTAGAACATTTTAATCCCTTCAATAGTTGTCTGAACAATTTTTTTTTGTTATTAGCAAGGTCTTTGAATCTTTGATCAACAAATTTTTCACTTCCCATCTTTGTTTCAATAACTTACTGTCAGACAACCAATACGGTTTTGAATCCTCTCACTCTACAGCTGAATATCTAACTGCTGTGACCGAGAGATTTTATAATGCATTAGATAGAGGCATAGAGGCTAGAGCTATTGCTTTTGACTTATCTAAGGCTTTTAACAGCATGTTTGG